AGGTTAAACTCCACATTTTAGGGAAACATAGACACACACAAACATATATTCCCAATCAGCTCAACTACATACCGTTGCTTGGCGTTGAGTGAATCAGTAGGTGACAGAATCCATGCAGGAGACCTCCTGGTCCATGTATCACACGTAGATAGGCGTAACGGTTAGGGTACACTGGTTGCCGTCTCACAGAATGTATCATGAAATAACTTTCCTGGCCAAAACCGTGCGAAGAAGCCGCCATGGACACACTGTAGCCGATGTTCACGAAAGAAACGCATGACACCGCTCAAATTCGGCAAATTTTGTTCAAATTGATTGCAGCGACCGGCGTCACAACGAAACAAAAATTGGCAAACAACGAGACTGGACGTACTTTGGTGATGCGTTATTCGCAGCAGCTCAGCTGTCTGCCTTGTCTGCCCTGCCCCTCTCCCCTCCCTCCCCTCCCCTCCTCCCTTTCCTTTCCATTCCAGTTTGTTTTGTTTGGAGTTGTTATTGAAATGCACTGCAATGCACTTCAAGAACTGCAAAATCTCGTGACCAAAGTGTCGTTCTGGTACCGTTTACATCATTATTATCAAACCCGTGAAGCGTAAGCGTTATTCGTTTCCCCCCTGCGTGTCGCTGTTGCGCTCAATGTTTCTCGAGGTGAGACCTAACCTGCGGTTCCGATGGTTCGGCTTCTTACTTTACTTTAAGTTTTCATTGTTTTGCCTGTGACCGTCGCCACCGTCTGTGCTTTGTCTCGCCTATTTGTCTCTGCTTTTCTTTAGAAAACAGAACTATGCTCAATCAACTGAAATCTTAACTTAAATTGAAACAGCTATGCTGGTGTGGTTCAAATCTCGCATGAAATTTGCAATTTCTAGTTTAATTTTTGCATCTCTGGATCCTCTCTGATCAGCTTGTGTGATAGCTTGTGATATTTGTGCTGGTTGTGGACTACCATTTATGTTGTATTGACTACCTGTTCCAGGTTTGATCGCTCTTCTGGTTGATTGGGTCTTCAGATCGTCAGACATGCAACATCAGTAGAACGCAGACCAATACGGAAAGCTTGTGAGCTACTCACAGGACCAAGATAGACAAGGTATATTTCTATGTTTCTAAAGAATCAGTTGACATTCAGAAGTATACGTATTTTATTTATCTATCTTGATGCACAATATCTGTGTCCAAATCGTGGTTGCCAGACATGTATTTTCCAGTACAAGTATCCTAGTGTAAATGATAATGCAGTTAACTGACTAATTTTTCTTACCATTTCAGACCTGACCTTCACGCAGAGCAGTGACTCATACATTGACTTACCATCCTAAGATTTGTCATTTGGATAAGAAGCTGTAGAGATGAAGGTGGGTACAAAGCCATTGAGAAAATTATGTTAAGGTAATTCATTCTGTCAGATTTTAATATCCACTTTCTTTTTCCTTTGTTTTAGATTTTCTTTCAAGTGGAGAAGTTGCTCTTGATGACGGGAGTTATCAACTAATTCCGTGGTGCAAGCCAACCGGATTGGACGAAGCTTGACTCTCTCTCATGTTTAGTTGTTTAATATGAATTTATCTATTCAGTTGGTTCTCAAATTTATTTGGTTCTGATTGATCCTATCATTTTACTAGTCTGTCCTTTTGTGTGTGTGTGTGATGGTGTAACTTGATCATGTTTTTTTCTTGTAATTCATCTGATAGACTAGTTGTATCCTCACCACAAGAAGGTGTGTTTGTGTCACTTAATATTTGAACTCCAAATTTCCATTATTCTGTTGCCAAATGTTTCATGCTTTCTTGCTGTACAAGTCAAACCCAATCAGTCAGATATTGCTGGCATGACATTAACTTTTTGTCACCCTAAATTGCCTAAAAAAGGTCTTACCATTTTCTGTTTATACAGATGGACAAGCAATGTCTGCTTCTAATTTTAATTTCTATGTCTTCTGCCCACACGATACAGCAGAGAAAAAAATTATTAGAGAGGTTGTAAGATAGATTTGATATCTTATAAAGATACTGCTTTGCCCATCTAGTTAAGTTTTAAGAATCAACAATTTTTTTGTTGAGCCTGTAGTGTGTACTGAAAGAGGATATTTCTGTCTAGAGCTATTCTTAAAGCCGTATCTATTGTAAGTTCCCTAAACTATCAAGGGTTGCTGATTGATTCTGGAGGAAGTGATGGGTTTTAATAATAGATAGAAAATAAATATTGATCACATTTTATCAGGAGCTGGTTTTGTTAACCACTATGTCCCTCTACCAAAAAAGTACCTTAAAACTTAAAACAAAAACAACTTTGCTTGATAACAAAATATAAAACAGCTGTTGTTAGGAGCTGGTTTTGTTAAACTCTATATCCCTCCACAAAAAAACTTACTTGAAGCAAAAAAAGTTTGCTTGATAAAACAACATATAAAACAGCTATAAAATCTTAATGGTCAGTGAAATTGCCTATTGAGAAGGGTGAATATAAAATGTATTACAGGGGGGCATTTTTTTCCTCCAGCTCCTGTTGTTTGACTAATTCCATGGAATTTTGAATTTTAACAGTTTTCTCATTAGCTCTTCTTGTTAATGCAGCATTCAAGCTTTTGGACCCTCTTGTCGGGCTTATGCCAGCAATTGCTCTGTAAATTGTTCCAAAATTACAAAAATATGCTCATAGATTTGACTTAACACATTGAAGAGGTCAAAGTGATGTAAATTGAACTCACTTCTGGATAAAGGTGAGGAAACAAGCAACCTTCTCAGAGTAGTATATGTTGAAGATAAAGTGAGCACTGAATAGCAGCACCAGTCCATCCAGTATATTTTTTACAACTGATACAAGAATGTTGTCAATGAACACAAATAGCTTCTCAAAGTTATAAAGAGAATCACCTGCAAACAGTGTGCCACAATAAAACACAGGATATTATCAAATTTAACAGGACAGTCACTGGGCATAGTTTTGATATATTACCTGCAGCTACAAGAATGGGTGTTTTCTCAGCTGGGAGATCATGGAACTCTTTCACTTCCTCATAGGTTGATGTTTTCTGTACAAATGAACAAGATAATTTGTGAGACAAAATTGTGAAACAAAATAAGCAGATATAACAAAGTTTATTATTAATTTTTCACTTTTACCTCTGTAAATCTGACAAAGTATTCCATGTCCTCCTTAAAATAGCAAATAAGCATGTTGATAGTAGCCACCAGTTTGGTTGAACCAAGCCCTTGCTCCTCTGCCCGTGCCATATTTCTCTTTAATTTTGCTAGACTGTCGTTCTTTGTTGAAAGGAATTCAATCAACCTCTTAGATTCTGATGCTACATATGCACTAATTTTTCCTTTCAGATCAACATTTGTGAGGATCTTGAAGTGTATGTTCATTCCCTGAGCACTGAACAAAAGCGGCCACTTTGATTTAATAACTGGCACAGAAACAACAGGGTCGTCTGTTGATTCTTCTTCCTCTTCCTCAACAGTAGCGCGCTTTCTCTTAGTCCCTTTCTTTTGCTGTGGGGCTGGGGCTATAGTGACATTAATATGCTTCCTTTGTAAATAATATGAATCAGTTAATTTTTTCTTGATGATCCTCCAATCCCAATCTTTCTTTGAAATGCGGGACATCTTCTCTAAATCAAGTCTTATTATTTCAAGAGATTCCTCGGTTTCGGAAGGAGGGAGGGGTGGATCCCATAACACACAACCATAGGCTTCTTTAGATCCAGAAGCCTCTTTATCAGCAGCTTTTGCCTTTCTCTTATTTTTCCTATCCTGATTATCTAATCTGCTTATGAATTGCTTGTAAAGACTGTCACTTCCATGATCACTTACTACAATAGTATCCTTAAATGATTTTTCATAGTCTTTCACAATTTGCTTAGCAACAACAGCAAGATCAGTTCTATAGAAGTTGGGAATTTTCTCCTTGCAATAGTCGACAACATTTTCAACCATCAATTGTCTGTCGTCTGGAGAGGGTCTTTTATTGGCTTTAATAGCTGCCCTCACTCCTGATGGAAAGTATGGGCTATTTTCATCAAATACCGGAATCCGGGATTGACTAATGGTTTCCCTGGCATTCTCCTGAAGTGTTCTAAGGGGTATTCTTGAAGAATTTGATGGTTGAGCCGCACTTGATGTCGGTTGCTCATTGTTGGAAGACTGAGACGTTCCTTTAAATAAAAAGTAAAATTAATTGCTAATAAAACTACAATACTACAATTCTTGCTATGGGCCAAACAAAATAATATCTTACCATATGCACTTTGCCAAGCATCATAAAGGTCAGAAGATTCTATGAAGTTTAACTTTTCATTGAGGATATTTACAGTTATGCGTCTGAGATCAACTAACTTTCTGACTCCTTTATTTTGCAAGAATCGAGATACATCAGAAGCGTCAGAAGCACTTAAGTGGGGCAGGATTTTTTGAATGTTATCAGTTAGACATTCATCAAAGTCCATAAAATCTGCCATGTCTGAAAAACAAGAACCATAGAATATCTTAAAACTAGCTGCAAAGTGGACTGGAGGCCGTTGCCGCCATGTTAGATCCACCCTCAAGACCCTAGAGAAGCAGCTGAGGTTGAGACTGAATTTTAAAGACATAAAACACTTTAATTCACACTGGTTCAATGAACAGCCAGGGAGATATAATCCATAATTTACAATTTAGGTGATATTGATCGTCGCGTTATCGTTTCTGAACACAGACTTCTAGTAATCGATTCACTGCTGCAGGTACTCATGATAACTTCACAACGGAAATGTATAACAACGGATTTTCAGGCTGCCGAAATAATTACTCATTTCACTACTTAACTACCATATACTAACCGAAAATCAGAATCAGACAGGCTGGACACGTAAATTGACTTAATTTCCTATCACTGGGTGACTTATTTCTTATTTTATCTGCACCAAGTCAAGTCCAACGGCAGATGTGGTGGGTTTACTCATCCGAACGTTCGAACGTGCCAGTTCACGCCAGTTCGCGCTATTTCGTCTCTGCTTCTTTTTCCTTTTTCCTTCCTTCCTTTTTGATGCTTCCGACACCAGCGAGCGACCGAAATCTGACCAAGATCAATTTTGTTTGGTCGTATAAATTGTGAAGGCAATATCAAACCTGAATAATGTTCTTGTTTTAGCCACCCCAAAAAATATTTCAATGCTGTAAGAAGGTTTTTGAATCCCCTACATTATCCGTGTTTCCGATTCCAATGAAAAAGCCTGGCCTCAAGTTTCTCGACGATCCCTCGCCATTGTGTTTTTGTCAACAGGGTCCTACACAACAACTGCAACAACCGGCTACACCTGACGATTTATTTGAATGTAATATAAGATTCCATAGTCTTATAAACCAAGAAGTTCTCTCTTTCTTCCTGAGTCAGTATTGTAGATTCGAAAAATCATTATGTGAGTCTGTACCATTTTCGTTTGCTCTGTCAAAATTACAATTTGTGTCTCTATTTTTCAGGTCAAATACAAACTAGGGTTTCTGAACCCAAGCAGGTGGTTCAAACACACCAGAGTGCAAATGAAAAATGCCTTATCCATGCAGTTTCTGCTCGGTAGTCCCTCAGACTCCAGCAAGCAGCATCCGTCATCAGCGGGATCATGCTAAAGGCCAGAAGACTTTTATTTTCTTTTGCCCTCTGTCTGATTGTAATTTTGAGTCCTCTACTTATAATGGTATAGACTTCCACATTTCAAGCCAACACCAGGAAGCTCGCCACATTGATGCAGAAAGCACCGAAGAACTATTTTGTCATGCTGATGCTAACAACTGTTCGTTTTCCACTACATCACTTGTGCTACTTGTCAGACATCTCTATTGCCATTTCATGAACGGTTTGCATGTTGTCTGTCCCATTGAGGGATGCTCACATTCGTGTTCAACAAAAGGCGCTCTGAAAGTTCATCTTTCTAGTTACCATCCTGGTTGGGCTTCTGAAGGATGCCCAAAACAAAGTTACAGAAGAGCTCCAGACCACTATGAAGAAAATTCATTGTTGAATTTTGATGTTGAAGAGGATAATGAGATGCAGTGGGAAGAATTTATTGAGCCTGAAACTGAATCCTCTGATAACAGAGATAGCAGAGATGAGCTGCTGTTCAACAATGAGTTATTTTTGAACAGTATTGCTAAATTTTACTTAGGTTTGTATGCTGTCCAACTCCTAGCCCAAACAACTATTCAGAAAATATGTGATAGCATCGCCTTTATGACTGAAGTAGCGCATGCTCGCATGAAAGTTGTTCTTACTCGGGCCTTGGAAGACTTGGAGATTTCAGAGAGAAAAATCAACAGGATTTGCCATGATGTATTTGAAGCTGATTTGCTGTATACTTCACACCACAAGAACAGCTCGGGGCCATCTCTTACTTCACATTACCTCAGAAAAAAGTTTTTCAAAGAAAAGTTTGGGTATTTTGGGCCTGTTGAGATTCATCTGGATGAAAATGATCCTGAAAGTGAAAAGAAGTTGCAATATGTATCAGTCAAGAAAAGTCTCAGTGTACTGTTTGAAGACCCATCTGTTCAAAGAGAAATCCAGGAATCATTTTCTGAACAGCTAGGTGATGACAGAATAGTATCAGATTATCCTGATGGTTATCTTTTTAAATCAGAAGACCACCCTAAACCAGAAATTCAATTACTTTTACATCAAGATGCTTATAATCCTGTGCCAAATGCCCTAGGATCAGCCAAAAATAAGTACAAAGCTCTTGTTGTATATTTCACCATTGGTAATCTAAAGGCCCATATTAGGTCTAAAATAATTACCAAGCATCTTGTTATGATTGTCCGAGAAAATATTTTCAAGAAGGTGGGAGCAGAAAAATGTCTGGAAGAATTGATCTCGGAGCTTCAAGCTTTGGAACAAGATGGCATTCAGTTCATGGGCGAAACTGTTCCAGTGACTCTTGAATTCATGCTGGGAGACTCCCTAGGCCATCACCTCATTGGAGGATTTATTGAAAGTTTTTCTGTAGAGTTCATGTGCCGCTTTTGTGAAATTACGAGAAGACAAATGAAAGCAGATCCATTGTTCATTGGAGAAGGACGCACCGTTGCAGAATTTAATCGGTGCGCTTTGAGGGCAAAACTAACTGGCCAACATTGCAAAGGCATTAAGGCATCTTGTGAGTTCAACAAATTGAAAAATTTCCATGCCACAAGTCATTTAGTACCCTGTATAGGTAAGGACAAAGTTTAGCAGACTGCTGGTATTCAGCTGACATAGATTTGTTGCCAGCTTATTGTACTGAAGTTTTTTTGTTTTTCTTTTCACAGCCCATGACTGCTTTGAGGGGGCATTTTCTTGGGACATGGCTGGAATCATTAGACGTTTCGTAAAAAAAAGATGGTTCTCTTTGGAGCTCATAAATAAAAGGATCAGACAATTTAAATGTGTTGGTGTCGACACTGGAAACAAGCCTGCTTTTGTACATAAGAAATATGAAAAGCTAGGTGGCCATGCAGTTCAAAACTGGACACTAATAAGGTAAAGAAATAAAATATGATTGTAAATTTTAAATGAGTTGTATACAGAGTTCTACTTCACTTTTTCTGTTCCAACCAGCCTTGTTTTTTTGTTCTTGTTACCTCTGATGGGTATGTACTCTAATTTCAACTTTATCTCTGACTCCAGACTTTTCTATTTCATCATTGGAGACAAAATTCAAGATTTTGAGGATGAAGGTTGGCTGCTTTACTTAAAGCTCAAAGAGCTATGCGAGTATTTCTGCGCGCCTATTGCTGAAAAAAGTTCTGCCCCATACATGAAAGATGTGCTTCTGCCTGCCTACTTTGATCTAAGAAAAACTGTATTGGTAAACAAGAAAAAATACCCAATCAAACCAAAGCACCATTTTATTGCTCACTATCCAGATCTCTTACTTCGCTATGGAAGTTTGATCTTCCTCTGGACCTTCCCTTTGAGCAGAAGCATAAGTTTTTTAAAGAAACAATGAGAAATGCAA